CTGCTGATGCTGAGATACAGAATTATTGACTCATAAAGCTAGCACACAGGTCTCCACATCTTATGTCTGAAGGTCCATCTCAGTAGATGAATAAATCAAGCATTTGGCTTATGTAAATGGGGTTACTTTTTAAGATAGATGTCCCCCACTCAGATGAAATGTAGCTGGTGTGCGACTATAAAACTTCAGAAATGCAATGCAGGTTATTTAACAAATCTGGAATACTGAGGACAGCGTGAAGGCACTGCTCTCTCTAGATGGGGCCTGTCTTCAGGCAATGGAAAGGATGCTGGAAGATTAGTATAGGGAAGTCCTATTTTGTGGGTGTTGCTGCTATGCTGCCTGAATAGGTGACAGCAAGACCCAGCCTGTCTTTGAGTAGAAGCACTTAAAGACCAGCAATGCTTATAATCTGACAGATCTCTCTATTTATTTGTTTTATCTATCTGTTTGTCTGCAGGGGGAATAGACGTGAATTGTATATCCCTTCAGCAACCTTCTGTTAAACTTGGACTCCCATAGATCAAGCAACAGAACAGATGGATAATGGAGACTGGGGATATATGGTAAGTGAGCCAATACAGATGTGTGTGCATGCTGAGAGAGACTTGGGCTTTCCAGATTTTAATGTAAGGATCCCCTCCAGTCTCTTGGCTTTGTATAGACCCAGAGAAGAAAATATGAGAAGAAAAATCTTATTAAAAACAATTTACTTACATTGTCTTTAGGTGTTTCATTTCAGTATGGCTGTCGGGGCCTTTCACATTGTTAATCTCCAGACAGAGTGCAGGAATTACATAAAACAGTGGGGCCAGCCTTTTTGGCAGCTGTGCTACAAACTAGCCCCACTACTTCCCCAAGTGCCGCACTGATCCTGTTCCCTGGCCAGTCAGCTGCTCTGCTTTCTGTTCCCTTCCCTGTGCTCCCTGCCTGATCTGCTGCTTTGCTTTCTGCTTCCTGCCTGCCTCTCTGTCTGCCCTGTCTGCCACATGCCACACATGGATGCTGCCCAGGCCACTCAGGGCACGTAGGCTGACTTAAGACAACACTTACAATTCTCTTAAAAAGATCGGGCCACAATGATGGGCTAGGAAGTGTTTGAAAGCAACCTCCCTGATGTACAGGGTCCTGGAAAAAGCAAAATCTTCCGTGTTCCTTTACGTACTTTGATGCCATTGTATTTGGGGAAAAACTATTCTTGCCTCTTAAACTGCATTTCTGAAACTAGGCCAGACTCGCTCATCTTATTATTGCTCCTTCCTTTTTTCCTCTAAGCATTCTCCTCTCTTTGGATACATCTGCCAGGCCCTCAGCCCTGGCCATGAGTCAGTGACCGAGTGGGATCTGTATTTCTTCTCTCACCTGCCTTTCTGGGTGTGATGTGGGTGGTTATAGCTGTGGGCTGCCTCCAGTGCCCAGGTACCTCCTCTACGCAGTCAACCATTTTGTCTGACAGATGTGTCTTTTACAAGCTGAGGCTACAGTATTGTCTTTATGGCTCCCTACAGCCGAAGCAAAAGTTGACTTTAAATGTCCTTTAATTTTCTGCAGAGATTTGGGGCATATTTGCTATGTTTCTCTCAAAGCATGAGACATGCTACGAGACAGATCCTTGGGCGTCTGACTCTGTCTGGTTCTCTAGGCTCAGAACGATCATCCTTTGCATCTGTTTGACATTCTGCACAATAGGAAACGCTTACTTTGCTGATGAGAGAGTCCTTTGTGCTGACAGGAAGCTTCATGCTGGCCTTGGTGTCTGTAAAGCACCTCACAATTTGCGCTGAGCTTTGGATATTCTCTCTTGTAACCAGCTGTGCTGTGTCACCAGGTTTCTTGTCTTTGCTCAAGAGTGAGGCCTTTCCCGGGTTTGCAGCTGAGGAGATGCGGTTCTTTCTTGAGCCCATTTCTAGCAGTAACTGCCATGTGCCTTGGTGATAAAATTCTCGTGGGGACTTGATAAACTCTGTCATTTCTCTCTTTCTTTCTAGATGACTGATCCAGTCACAATCAATGTGGGTGGACACATGTATACAACTTCCCTGACCACTCTCACGAGGTATCCAGATTCAATGCTTGGGGCCATGTTCAGGGGAGACTTTCCCACTGCCAGGGACTCTCAGGGTAATTACTTTATTGACAGAGATGGACCACTTTTCCGATACGTCCTTAACTTTTTAAGGACTTCGGAGCTGAATTTGCCATTGGACTTCAAGGAATTTGATCTGCTCCGGAAAGAAGCAGACTTCTACCAGATTGAACCCCTAATCCAGTGTCTTAATGACCCCAAGCCTTTGTATCCTATGGATACCTTTGAGGAAGTAGTGGAGCTGTCCAGCACACGGAAGCTTTCCAAATATTCCAATCCAGTGGCAGTGATCATAACACAGTTAACCATCACGACCAAGGTCCACTCCTTACTGGAAGGCATTTCAAACCACTTCACCAAGTGGAATAAGCACATGATGGACACCAGAGACTGCCAAGTTTCCTTCACATTTGGACCATGTGATTACCACCAGGAGGTTTCTCTCCGAGTCCACCTGATGGAGTACATCACAAAGCAAGGCTTCACGATCAGAAACACACGTGTCCACCACATGAGTGAACGGGCCAATGAGAACACGGTGGAGCACAACTGGACTTTCTGTAGGCTGGCACGGAAAACGGATGACTGATGTTTGACTCCACAAGAGCAGTGTCAGTGGCTAGCGGCTTTCTGGACAGTGCACCTGTGTGGACCTGGGTTTGACTAAACCAACAGTGTGTGCTTCTTTTATTTTTTTTTATATGACTATTTATTAATATTCATTAAGGTCTAGGGAAGTTACTTTCTCTAGCAGCTCTGTTTTTGTTTTGTCCAGAAACAAAAATGCATGTGCCTGTTCAAACTGTTGAGACACTTTTTGGGAAAAGGGGGTCCTAACAACCAGTGGGATAGGACCCTATGTGTCATTAGCACAGCTAAGTCATTTGAAGTGCTAAAATTTGCCTCTGTTTTAAATGGTCTCTAATTCAGCTAATGCTAAACCGCCAGGAATAAAGAACAAACAGAATTTAAGATGCAGCTGGGGAAAAGCAACAATCATGTAGTGTAACCTAGTTTCTAAATCAGTAAACAGTATTGTAATATTTTAGGAAAACAAATCCCAGCCCCTTTTAAAGTACTTGTTAAGTACAATTTCTTACAGTTATGACGACTGTTTTTTTCTATGCATATAAATCAAGCAACCAAATATTATCTGTAGCCATGGAAATACAATTAGAAATATTTATATTGGATTCTGAATGCAAAATGTTCCTGTGGTAGAATTCATATTTTTAATGCCTGGTGCATTGTTATTCCCAAGTGTAATGCCTGCCAGCAAGAAGCTAATAAAAATGTGAACTATGAAAATAAGCTTTTTATCTTGTTTGTGTCTTTGTAATTTATTATTCTAGGAAAACAGAAAATAAAATGTATCAGTGGATGGAAGTGAAGCTGCCAGTCTGCTACCCTCAATACCATGTTTCTGGAGTATCGTGAAAACAGCTCACTTCTAAAATTCAAGTTACAAGATCTTGTGCTGTTGCAACAGATAATTTTAATACTAGAAATTAAAGGGGAGAGTTTGTGTTTAAAATAATGGGCAGTTGAAAAGCACTGAAGCTGGTCAGCAGGTTGGCTGTCCATGGTGTGCCTAGGAGCTGAATCCTTATAACTCCGAAAGGGATGTGATCAAAATTTGATATGTTCATCAAATTAATTCCAGTACGTGTCAGCACTTCGGTTCCCCTGCTGGGACAGCTGCTGCTACCGTTGTAGTCAAAGGACTAGCTCAGCGTTCTTCCCGGGCAGTCTCACAGAACTGCGTCCGCCTCTCCTGTGCATTCTGTGGAGCTTCTCATATCGTAGACTACAGAGTCCTTCTATGAGAATCGGTTAAAGTTAGAAGATGGTAGAATTGCCACTTGGATCTATGCTTTGAGGGACCAGACCAGTGCAGCTGTATACACACTCCTCTTTCTAGGTCAATGTTTCTGCCTTAAGTGATGCACACCCTTCTCGTTGTGTATGACCTCCCTCTGCAGCTGGTTCAGTTGCTTTGCCATCTGGCTAGCCTGGACCCCAGTTTCCTGGAGATGTTCAGAAACAGCCTGGGCCTTCGCTCTTAGCCGCTGTTTCCTCCAGCGTAGAGTTCCAGGAGCTGGCGGCACTTCATCTTGGCTCATTCAGTTGGTTTGCACTTCTCTGGCACTGGAGAACTTGGGTGTCACTTTTCCTTTGTTGTATCCCCCCCTCTTACTTCCAGCCCCTTTTGTTTTGTTTATTGCTGTTAAGTGCTTTATTTCAAAAAAAAAATATTACTCAGTTAAGTGGAGGCAGCTCAGGAAGCCTGCTTGTTTGTCTGTTGCTGGGCAGGAATCTGAAACCCTGAGAAGATACTGTTACTGTTACTTCTGTTGTTAGTAGAAAAATGTCTGTTCTTCCTGCAATTATGGAGGATAATTTAACAAACAGTATTCCAAATGGTACACATCCTATTGAAACCCTCAGCTTCACAGAAAAAGAGTATTGGCAGCTTGCACCATAGTAAAGTGAATCCCCCAAGCTGAAGCTAGCACCTAGTGCACGTGAATTTGGATGGATTGTTTAAACTTGGAGCTGTACAAAGCATAAGAGGCTCTATTCCCTATTGGAAAAAAAACCCTTATGTTCAAGAGGATCCTTTCATGTCTATCAAGCAAGCTGGCTTTAGAAACCTTTGGTGTTTTGCAAAGTTCAGTTCCTTAATTCTGTACATGGCATCTTAGGGCTAAACAAAATAATGGTCAGCCAGCATCTTAAGCGAATAAATTCTTTAAACCTGAATATACTAACGGAACAAGAGTGCTAAATATTTCAACCTCTAACCCTATTGAAGACACAAAAAAAGACCAGGATTGTAATGGAATTCCACCTAATAATAGACACAGCTGGAAGAGGTGTCCCTTTCTTAGATGCAAGCAAGTAGCTAAAAAAAATCTGTCTGATACTTGCAGCAAGTAGAAGTGAGTGGTCTGTTACTGCTCTTGCTAGTGCAATCTTCCACCATACAAGAAAGACCAGAAGAAGATGCTGTCTGTGCCGAGTAATTGATGATCTTCACAGTTTGGACAGACCATTCTGAAAAAGTGGCTTCAGATAATTTTCATAGGCTTGGTTTGGCTGCTGGAAAGGGAGAATGGAGAAAGACATTAACAGGGACTTAAGGACCAGGACAGCACAATGATTTTCTCAGTAGTTCTGAATGATCTGCTTGGTGCAGGAGCTAGAAGATTTTTCTAAAGGGTCACAGCGAGCTCTTAAGGCCTTACTCCCCAGTGCTCCCATTATGTAACTAACTACAAGCTACCAGTCACCCAGACGAGTCCCCGGGCTTTATTTTTAGAAAGCATACTTTCATTTTGAGTACTTGCCAAAGGCCTATTTCATATCTTGTATTCAATTGTTTGAATACATGATGGCTGGTTTTCAAATTGGATAATAACCATTTTACCACACAGTTTTATGTTAATTCACCTCTAATGCAGTATAAGAAGTGAAGGCAGCGAGGCATGAACCTGTTTTGTTTGCAGTCTGCTCCTACTGTTAAATGTACCGCAAGAAGATATTAATTGATGAGTGGTATGCTGATAAAGGTACTTGTGCAGAAAGCAGATGCTGCTACTGCAGGCTGTTTTAATCAGCTACTTTTCCTGTAGTGCTAAAGTGTGTGCGCGCAGGGGTTGTTTTTGTGTGTATCCTTGTGTTCTGGTAGCTCAGGTGTCAAAAAACAGACCTAAGTGTCAAGTAATGGAACGTAATCTGTGCCAGGGAACTGGACAGCCGCATACTGGTGATGGGCTGTGGAGGCCCCAGTTTCTTCATTGCTCTTTCAAATCCAGCCCTGGTTGCTGGTGACTAAAGGGCTACCCGATCTGGTGGGTTTTCGGCTGCCAGGGGGCAGCAGGGCCCGTCACAAGAAGACTGAAGGTTAAGCAGAGCTACCTGGGCTCTTCTGAGACTGCCCAGTGGTGAAACAGTGCACGCAGGCTGTCTCGCCCTCCTGGAGGCCACTCCCTTTAGAAGTGGCAAATCAGCAGTGTGTGAGGAGGTGCACGGTGGCTGCGCTGCTTTGTAGATCAGCAGAACCTGGTGCAGGGGCAGGCCAGCCTGTCTACAAGCACTGAATTGATGGAACAAATGCATGGTGGCCAGTCTGAATGTATCTGCAGATAGGTTTCCTACCGCTGCCCCAGGGCCAGACCCTGCTGTTCCCAGGGCTTCTGCACAAGGAAGGGGGCAGGTGACTCCCCTGTGCAGCTCTCTGTGCTTGTGTGGTGCCCCACTGGCTTCAGTAGGGGCCTGCCCGCATGGTGTTCATTGCAGCACCAGAGTCCAAGATGCCCTTTTCTGAGCCCTGGCTGCAGCTGGTGCAGCTCCCTCCTAAGCTATGAATTGGGGAGGGGAGGAGGAGGTTACCCTACTCCTCTCTGGACTCAAGGCTGTCACCCTGCTTATGTTTCTCTGGTTTACATAGTAAAAGCCCAAAGGACAGACAGCAAAGTTGGTTTGCCCTGACAAATGCAAACTGGGGAGATTTGTTTGCCCCCGGCCCTTACCTTTGTGTTGGATGGTGACCTCTGAGCCCACTGGTAGAGCCGTCGGTAGACCTGTCCATCGTAGCTGCCCAGCGCAGAGTTCAAGGTCTCATCCGTGAAGTCGAAAGCATCCACTAGTGGGACAGCATCTTTCCTAGAGGAGCAGAGGAGCTGTGCTTGTTACACCATTAACGAAGTCATTGCTTTGCACTGTCCATGGATGGGAAACAGCTGCCAAACTTACTAGGGAGTTAATTTCCTTAGTCCCTAACTCACCAACTGCTTTGCACTAGTGTTTCTCTTCTAGGGGCTGGTTAAGGGCCAAGCCCTACTCCTTTTCCTCAGAGGCAGGCTGCGCAGTGCTTGGTGTCTCTGGACTATTCCTTGCATTAGGACTGAAGGGCTGGAGTGTATCGGTTTGCTCAGCAGGCCTAGCAGCTAGTGCTGCAGGCTTTGCACAATGTAGGTACTTCCATTGTCTGTGACCTTCTCCAGAAAGAGGTTTTCAGCCTCATAAGCATCCTTAATGAATGCTGTTGACTTGTTTAAACCAAGGGGATGCTGGAGGGTGCCTGAGCCCCACCTGCCTGACTGGGAAGTCCTGCACATCTTTGCACAGTGTCCGATGAAGTCCGCTTCAGCCCACAAAAGCTTGGGCTGTGTATAGCTCTACTTTGGTTAGTCTGTAAGGTGGCTACCCTGGCTTCTACTCAAAACTAACACGGCAAATTATATCTCCCAAGCCTGTGCCCTGACCATGGGCTCTGCCCTCCCCTGGGTGCTAAGAGCAGCACAGCAGGCTGCATACTTGTGAACTTTTTAGAAATCGAGCTTTTTGCCCTTGAGGCAGTTTTTGCTCTGTCACCTAATGTCCTGGCTTCATAGTCGGTTAAATTTTTGTGAGTCATGTCATGTGTTCCTTGGTAGCAGCCCAGTGTCGCACCAGCTGGGCCGTGACCTCTGCAGCAGAATATCTCTGTTCAGAGAAGAATTCACGGACTCTCCTGAGTGCGCGTGGAAATGTCATGTTTTGTCAGAGGGGTGTAGGTTGTAGCCGTGTCGGTCTAAAGACATAGGCAGACAAGGTTCTTTGGGTAAATCTGATATCTTTTATATCCAATATAGTTGGTCTAATAAAAGATATCAGATTTACCCAAAGAACCTTGTCTGCCTATGTTTTGTCAGACACATTTTAGCTGAGTTGAATATGCCTGGGAGCGTACCTTTAGCTGGTGGCAACGTTTTAATTTTAGAAATTGAACTCTAATGGCAGGGGACTGGTATTTGCCTTGGCAGTGTTGAGGTGCTGAACTGGGAGAAGTACAAACATCCTTGTTTTCTTTTTAACGTTTTCCCCATCTCATGGTGGTGGAGGGGGGGAATCCTAATGTGTTGCTTTCTCCCATTCTGATAGCTCACCGTACAATAGCAAGTAGATCCAAGTAGGATGCAGTCATCATGTCCACTTGGTCCCCAGATATGTAGCCATCATGCAGGAAATCACCCGTGTTTGAGAAGATGCCGTGTAATGCAAAGAGCCCACAGAGATGTTTTATCATTCTTTGGATTCCAGCCTCCTGTCCAAGTTTCTCGACTGCTTCTGCAAAGCTTTTCACAACGTGGTAGTGGCAGTGAGCCTAGAAAACAATTACAGTTGACTGTGAATGCCTCCTCTTGAAGGCCTCCAGCATTAAGTGCTAGGCTGACCGGATGACTGAAATGTTCCTGCAGAGGTTACAGAACCTTCCACTTGGACTGGCAACGCTCCTCCCAGTCTGTGCTCTTTGGGGGCCAAGCCAGCTACATCCAAGTTTTATTTCTGCATGCTGGAAGAAACTTGGAGTCACCCTGCTGCTATTTATAGCAATGATATAAGAATTTGGAACGAATGTTCAGCGTATCATCAGTGAGCAATTCCAGGCCATCTGAATGGCATGAATGCATTAAAATCCTATTGTACTCACCCCTGGAAAATCAGCACGCCTGTGGTACAGGAACAAAGCTGTGTTGTTAAAGATCGCATGTTAAAGGCATACATACTGGCCTCTGGCTGCTTTACCACTCCACCCAGGAAGAGCACAGACCGTCTGCAGACGGCGCCTCAGCTTGATGAAGGGTGTTTGTACCCAAAAGCTTGCAAAGAAGAATTTTTCCAACTATTTGAGTTGGTCTAATAAAATATATTGGATTTACCCAAAGAACTTTGTGCTTAGTCTGTCATTCATCCTTTGTAGGGTTTCAGAGCCCCGGGGCCTCTGTCTTTCTTCAGAGAGAGCTGGATGAACATGCATCTTCCTGGCGCTCTTGTTCCTTTTGGTACTTGACTCTGTCCTACTGTCTGCTGCACCAAAATGAACGGAACTGGCGCCTGCCGTTGGGCCTGACCACTTGGCTTCAAAAAGCTTTTGGAGCCCAGAGGTGCCATGCCTTGATTGACAGGAGGCAAGAGGACCTTCACTGTGAATAAGTAGTCCTGGCTGGGGCTGTTGGGAGCGTTAGGGTTGACATAGCAGTGCCTCGCGGGACAGCGTGGACTCCAGGAGACGCAGAATGGCGTTTGAGTCCCAGCCCCCAGCCAGCGCCTGTTCAAAGTGGGCGGGGGCATCTCGGTTGTGACTTTGCTCCCAGGTGACTCTTTTGTACTATCTGTAGCATGCTTATTGACTGCAGTCCTGTTGGGTACCTTGTTTTGGTTCCTGCCCCAGCAGGCTGCCTGTACTGCAGCCGCTAGCATTCGCAGCTAGAGCCGATCGACCCACGCTGCCTCGCTCCAGCTAGCTGGCATAGATCTCTGCACGACTGTAGCATTTGTGGGTAAACACTCAGGCAGCCGGCCCCTACTGAGCTCCAGGCTCCCACAGCACCACTGCTAGCAGTGCCCATGTTCACTAGTTCACAGCTGGCTTAGGTGGGCCTGTGTGAGGTGCAGGGAGAATGCAGAGCAGGGCGTGTCCTCCAAGCCAGGTGGAGCAGGAGCAAGGGCCGTGTCTGCATTCAAGCGTGTGGGGCAGTTTTCAAAAGCATCAGGGCAGGCAAATGTCCCGAGTCCCATGCTTGGATGGGACTGGCGGACAAGGTTCCTTGGGTGAATTTGATATCTTTTATTAGACCAACCCAAATAGTTGGAGAATAGTTATTAAGCAAGCTTTCGGGGGCACTTCAGGACACACAACTTATTGGGCATCGATGCAGGGACTGGGATGAGAGAAGGGCCTTGCCTCCACTGAGGCTGCCTACCATTCTCTTCAGGGGAAGGGCATGGGCAGCATGCACACCAGGCAGCTAACTGGGCTTAACGTAAGGGCAGAGAGAGAATGCCACTCGCTGGAGTTAGCGAGTGGCTCTTGTAAGACTGCATTTGCCTGGGAGGTGGTAATGCAGCATTTGTTCTGTGCACGCTCACAGCACAAGAGCGCACCCCTTCTGAGTGCTTGCAGAGACAGAAGCATGTGGGTGGTCATGATCTTCAACTCCCACCCCACGTGCGGCAGCAGGCATCTGACCTGCTGCCTGTTTCCTTCATGCACCCTGAGCATGAGGGGTCGAGGGAGACTCCATGTTAACTGGTCCGTGCCTAGGCTGAAGCGGAGCAGGGGTGTTTCATCAGTCAGGAGAAGTGAGTGTCACTGCAATGAAAACCTGGTTAGGAGGAGCCCAGGCCTGAGTAGCTTCTGACTTTTCCTCTTGGGTTAAAAGGGAGCAAGACAGTAACATGCGTTTAATGTGGTTATAACTTGCAAACCCAGCGGCGCCTTTGCTTTTGTCTGTGGCCTTCTAGAGGCTCCGCGATGTGTTGAGTTTTCTCATTTCCTGTGGCCGGTGCTCTGTGGCTGTGGTGTGTGGCGGGGCTGGCGTGGACTCTCTGGTGGACCCTCTCTGGCAAGGGCAGCCAGGACTTTATTGCATGTCTACCTACAGTCACTGAAGAGCCCCATGTTCCTTAAAGCAAAAAGGAAACAATTCACCCTGCCCACTGCTCTAGTACACACCAGGGTCAGCCTGACCCAGGGCCTCTGAAACAGCCTGATTCTAGCCCCGATGTGTAAAAGGAGCCGTGGCCATTGCCAATGCTAATGCTCGTGGAGTTGAGTGGTGGGTTGCGACTGTGCAGTCCAACCGTTGGGCCTTAAATGGGGAGAGGGAGGCTCTGCCACTAACTGCAGCATGGCCCTGGGCAAGTCGCTTCTCTTCCCTGCATGCTTGTTTCCCCGCAGCTGCAAGCTCCCTGGGGCAGGAGTTGCCTCCTCCCCTGTGCCTGGCACATCAGTGCCCTGATCTAGGCTCCAGGTGCTACGTAGCCAAACCAGGAAGTGCCAGGATGCAGAATGAGCGCTGCTGGAGCTAGCTGTGGTCCCTGCCGCCAGGCTGGCTCAGGGGCGCGCAGGGGTATGTACTTGCCTTTGCAGCATGTACCAGCTGCACTGTGCACTGGTGCCATGCCTCATGCTGCTCTGCTCCAGACTGAACCAGCGCCTGCAGCTTGGCCGCTGCACTGCTGAGGACCCTGGAGGGGAGAAAACACCCTTTTGTACACTGGACATGTATGTAAACCATCTGCCACATGTGTTCTGGGTTCACAGCCTTGCCCATGCACCTTGATGTTTCTGGGCTTCATTCCATTCTCCATCCGCCGAAAGCAAAGAGCTTTGGTTCTAGAGACCTAACCTGCCCGGCTGGAGCCTGTTCCCCAGAGGGCAGAGGTGGCAATGTGTGGAAAAGGGCAAATGAGCGTTAATGGCTGATCTCAGGCATGTGGCCCCCAGCATGTGGCACCAGACCCTGCTGCTATGCACGTGTGCCTCTCCAAGGAGCTGCTCTGTATCTGTGCTGGGCTAAACATCAGCAGGGTTCAGCTGGCCTTCCCCTCTGTTAGCAACGCTGAGCAAGGCCTGGTGCTAAAGCACCCAGCAGGCTCCTGCAGAGGCAAAGTTTCCATGGGGTGACCTGTGTTTCCATAGGACACGAGTGGTTCTTGGTCTGTAGGGGCTAGCCCTGCTGAGAAAGTAGCTGCTGATCATTGTTTCCCACGGATGTACACCTCCCCCCGCCACCTGCTTTTGGGAACTGAAAAGCTGATTGTTAATAGGACCTGGGGGGGAGAACTGTCCTACCTGCGCAAAGAGACCATTGCTGCATTTAAACTCTCGTGTCTCTGTCTTCTTTAACCCAGGCAGCTGACTGAGTGGCTTCACTGTAAGTGAGGATGGATTTGGGTCCAGGGCCTCTTGAGTGGCACGCTGAGCAAAGCCCCCTGCCTGCACACCCCAGCATCCCACGACTGACCTGATGGCGACGTGCCGATAGGCTTCGACATAAACATCTGGTTGGAGAAAGTCCCTCTTGTCCCTGACCAGACACCTCTCAGAGTTCGCTGCAGACAAATAGGCAACAGATGGAGGGACAGGCTGGCCGGAGTGAGCTGCCCCCAGGCACTTCACCAGGAACCTGGGAACAAGGTAACCATCAGCACAGGCCTCTGCTCGGTGCGCCTGACTAGCGTGGGGTGTGCCCGGACAGCCACCCCTGCTAAGGGAGGTTGGGACTTTTTGGCTGAACCCAGGTGCAAACCTGGGGAAGTGCATCCAAATATGTCCTTCAGGCCATGATTCCAAGCCCTGGGGAGTCACCAGTAAAATACCAGGCCTCTTTCTGCTGGTGGGTGGTGGGAAAGAGGTCAGTCTCTCTCCTTCTCTCTGCCTGTACTGCTGGTTAAACCCACCACAGAGTGAACAGAGCCCTGACGTGCTAGGCCTGGCTCTGATGTATTCAGCAACGCAGAAATGTTATCTGATGAATTGTTAGTGCCGATGTTGCTGTTGCTATTACCATGCTGCCATCTGTGTGATAATGAGCTACATTATCATCTTCAAAATGCTCTGCACCACAGCGTTAGAAATGTTAATGCCAGTTTGGGTTTAGTGGCTCTCTCCTTTTCTGAAAAGCTTGTGCGTGCCTGTGAAATGAATGTGTGTCACCCCAGAGACCAAAGTCCCCTTTCCTCAGAGCAGATGCACAGCCCTGCCCCACCGACGTGGCTCAGCTGTGACCTGGATCAACTCTCTGCAGGTGTAAGAGGTTACAGCCTTTTGCTCTCTTGGCCTTCCTGGTGGCAGTGCTAGCCTGGTTAGTACATGTGTATGTGTGTGGTTGTGTGGACCTCTGCCCCCTGGGATGCGTGCTAGGCACCTTCCATTTTAGATGAGTAGGTGCCAGGTTCGTGACTTCAGTTAGATGTTATTGCTGCCCCTTTACTGGGCTTTACATGCTGTAGTTAATTGTCAGACTGTATAGCCAAGAGAAAACAACATTATTGGAACAGGGCAGGTCCGAGAGCAAGTGGAACAAGTTTGCCTTCTTGTAACTAAGCTTATTTTACAAGTCTCTTAAAAGGCAATGCATCCCATTCAAATCTCTGTCCCTGCCTACGTAACATTTAGCACGTTCGCCCTTCGCTCCCAAATGATGAGGTCATGAAGGGCTGGTACAATGTGCCTGCAACCCCCTCCTCCATCACCAGAGCATCTCAGCATGTCCCAGCCCCTCAAACAGCAACAATCACACGTTCCTCCCTCCCTCCCTCGGGAGGGAGACCTGAATAGCGTGTGGCCTGTGGTGCACTGATGAAAGGCAGCCTGGGAAAGAAGCTGATCTTAGCTGTGTCCGAGAAGATGCTCTAGAAAGCAAATAGCGGGTAGTTACCTGGCTGTCTGCAGGAGCAGAACCGTGTTTTCCCCTTCGTATGTACAAGAAGCTGCTAGTCTAGTATACAAGGAGGGGAGTCCACTCAGCAGAGAGTAACCGTGTCCGCCGCATGCCTTGCGACAGGTCTCCACTCCCGCAGTGCAGTGCTCAGTATAAATGGCTTTGAGGCCTGAGGAAAATGCATGAAGCTGTGCAGAGGGGAGAAAACGTTAGCACCAGAAGGTTTTTGCAATATTGCATTGATTAAGGCCAGTACACCTCTAAAAAGCAAAGTGCAGAGTGTTTTTTTTGCTAGTACAGCTTATTTAGCATCATTGCATCCATTTGCATGTTGCCTGTTTCTCTGAACCCAGTCACCATTTGAGTTTGTGGCTTGTGGCACCTCTACACCTGGTGCACGCTGTGAGCTGTCACTCGTGCAGCCAAGGATAGGATGTGGCTAGCTGCATGCAGGCGATACTTTCATCAAGGCACCAGTGTGCCGTACTCAGCAGTTTGCTCCACCAAGCAACATGCTGGTCCATAGCCCAGAAGTAGGGCTTTTTACTCAAGAGGGAGGCTTGAGGCAAACCCTTTTCTATTCTGAGCCCCAGGTCACGGGAACGAGTGATCTGGGGTTTTCAAATGGCGTTTTCTGTTCTCGGACAGAAAGTTGTGAACTGTAACTTCAGCTCTGCCACTGGCGCTCAGCATGACCTCAGACAAGTTATTTCATCTCTCCGTACTGCAGTTCCCCCGTGCCTCTGATGGGGGTAGCAATGCTCCACCCCCTTGGTAGGGCACCTGGAGAGAAAATTACAGGATGGGTGCAAACTATAGCAATGATTATTTTTACTGCAAAGTACCTCAGGCAGTGAATCAAAGTTTCTCTGCTTGATTTCTCTGTATCCTTTGCTGAAGAGTTCATTCATATATTGATTCATGAAGTGGAAGGCGTAGGCTGTTGCCAGCATAGGTAGTAGCTTCTGTTGCTGTGTCTGATAGTCCAAGATTTTTGCCTCTTGGTCACTGTAGAAGGAGGATTTATTTTTATAAACTGTGGACAGCAATAGCAGTGACTGTTAGTTTAGCTTAAAATCCCTTGATAATCTAAGAATTCCAGAGCATTTTTTGCTTTATGAGCTGAATTGTCTGGTCTTCAATGCAGCTAACAGACTGACGACACTAGTAGGTGTTGCTGTAGCAATAAAGGCCGGGGAGGCAAAGGTGCTTTGCCATTGTTTCTGATGCAATAGTGCGATAAGGAGAACAGTAAAGCTAAGGTGACTAAGGATCTAAGGAGCAACAACTGCATGCAGAGATTGCCTTGTGTCCTTATTCACGTTAGTGGCTTGATCCAAATGGCCATAAAACTGAAAATCTCCCTTGATTGCAGTGTGCATTTTTTAATGCAGGCTGCCAGGAAAGAAAGGGTAAAACCAGGATTCTTTCCTGCAAGCCAAACCTTGGCATCCTTTTGAAAATGTCTTGACCTATTTTCGTAACTTTTCTTGAGCACCTTCATTTACCCGATACTTTTTCTGCTGCGTGTAGTTCTGGGGGACAGTTCAGCTTGCTACTGGAATCGGACCGCTTCCCAGGCTGGGCCCCAGGCTCTAGTACAACGGGCGCAGCGTTTGGTGTCACAGTCCAGGCAAACCACATTTTTGCTGGAATTGCCTACTAGGCTCTTGAAAGCAGGTCATTCAAGTGACTGTTTGGGGCCTACATGAACAATAACCGTTCAGGACAAAAATGTTGTTAAGGATGTGTTTTAGTGGTCATAAAAAGTCGGTATTGCACCATGTAGCTGTTCACTAGGCAATTAATTTAGCGTCAGCTTTTAATGGCATGGGAGGTGGGCACGTTCTCTAGGTTCTGCTGGGTTATGTGATCGTGCGGAAAGGCCAGTCGGGGCAGGGTCATAAACGGCCTTTCTTGTCTGCGCGATACACACAGCTCAGCCGTGATCTTGGGCAGTGAATGTCAGCTGCTTGCGAATTGCAAGGGAAGGTGCTGATATAATTTTTTCTGTTTGTGGCAGGGCATAAGCTGATGTCACTGCAATGACATCAGAGGTGAAAGATAGACAGAAATAAAAGTAGGACCCGTCCTGTGACCCTGACAGTCTATTACCCAGGCTTCAGCTCACACTGCCGGCGAACCACAGAATATCTGATGGCGATGGTGCATGCCTTCATCAGTGTGGGCACAACTTCATTGGAAAGCATCTTAACACGTATTATGATCATGTTAAAGTAGTTAATCTTCTCAGAGCCTCGCTTCACGTATGTGCCATCTGCTAGGACCTGGAATTTGATTAGACCCAGTAACAGGATATCATCCTTTGAAGGCTTAGAAGAGTTTTCATTAAAATAGATGGTTTTGCTGGTACTTCTGCAGTGAGCAAAACGAACACTTGGCGACGATGGAGCTAGATATTCTGATACGTGGGTGTAAAACGACCCATGCGAAGAGGTACAAGCTCTTTCTTCTACTGACTCTGGTGTATTCTGCCTGAATCCTAATCCTCCACCCTCTAACGTGCAACATGGGAGAGGGTTAATTTTGGATTCAGAAGAACCCCGCCCCCTTCAGAACTTCTCACCCCCGTGATTTCGGCAGGAGTTGCATGCACACCTGGGGGCAAGGTCTCGCCCTAAATCTAGAAGGGCCTTAATATCCTTTCTGGTACCAGGGTGGGAACCTGATGGGTGAGTTTGTAACATACCTCACAGAACCGGCTCAGCATGTTTTCCCTAGGAACCCGAACGTCTCGCAGTAGCAGATAGCCGTTGTCAATGTGGTTGAACTCCATTTTGGGGCCAATGTCTCCAACAGTTACTCCTAAGGGGTGGGAAGATGGATCCTATTTACTTCTTCCTCCCTGTTCTGTAACAGGTTTGGGGACTTGGGACAAGGTGCGGTTCACCTCCTCTAGTTCTCCCCTCGGGGGAAACTTTGAGTGGGGAAAAAGGGCTCTGAGTCCCAGCACATCTGCCTGCTTTACCCATGCATGTACTGTTCATGGCTGGGGCTGAGCTGTTAATACATCAATCAGAAGCAGCAGCACGGGGCAGGGATCTCAGCACCCCGCAGATGGAAGGGAGGTTTCATCGGGAGTTGCCTGACAGTGTTACCAGTGATTCTGCCACTAGCAGGCTTGGAGCAGATCCATAATGAGAGCAGCATGGGCAGTGCAAAGTTGTGGGGGCAAGGCTTAGAGGTCTGACAAGGGAGGCTGTGAGGCCGCATCACACCAGGGGCACTGTGCTTTTGCTCCTGAGCACAGCAGCACCGTGTGCGTGCGCTCTGGGGTGCATTGATCATGCGAGCGGCAGCGCTGTGCCTGCTCCCTCCTGGGCCGGCAGCAGGATCAGCCGGTTCCTGTAGTGCTGTGCATGGGAGTCAGCGCTGCAGGGGCGCCTGTGGCTTCTCACAGGGCAAGAGCCTCTGCTGGAACATCTCTGGCTTGGGGCGATCACAGCTACGGGTGGGGTCAGTCCCGGCTAGTTCTGGACTCTTTGTGGCTCCTCAAACTTCAGGAGCTTTCCTTGCTCTGTGAGCTGCTTTGAGGAGCTCTCATGGCTACCTGTAGCACTGGCCCGGGCATGAACCCAACATCCAAATAGGCATTTGTGGAGGAAACAGCTGAAGAGCCACTTTACCTGGTGCAGGCGAATGGTCGTGGAGGCTGCGGATCTGGACGATGAAAGGATGCACGCCATAGCACTTCCCTTTAATGTACAGCTGGGCAAATACCACGGCGTGGGTTGCTGATCTGCCCACTGCAAGGGGGAGAAAACCACATTGCTCTGAGGCTGTATATGGCAACTGCTTCCCCAGGCCGCTGCACTGGGTACAGCAGCTGTTTGGCGTGTGATGGGCAAAGCAGTCAGCAGTGCTTAGGTCCTTGAAAAAGGCACAGTCTGGTGAGCTACGTGTGGACAGCAGGAGCCTGGGCATCCCTGAGTCCTGACCTTGGTTCTGCTGTTGACTTTCTGAGTTATCCTATGCAAGTCACTTAGTCTCTCTGCCTCAGTTTATATCTGTGAAGTGGGCATGCTTCACCTGTCTCACAGGGATCGGAGAACTAAATAGTTGAATATTTGTGCAGATTCCCCTCTGCAGAAGCTGTGGGCTGAAAGTCTCTGGCTTGTGGTGTGCAAGAGAACAGAGCAGCTTCCTGAGTCCTCCACCCTATTGTTGGTGTGACCCTGACCCTTCCAGAAGCCTTTGTGTTGGGCTTATGACCCTGCTCGGGGTTGTGACCCTAGTCTGGGGACCTCTGCACCAGAGGCCATGATGGTCTCTTGGCCGTCCTACTTCTGATAAGCCCTCCATCAGAAAGTTTGCCCGTTAACATGATACATACGGAGTTTGCCTTCATTGACGCCTGGGGGCCCACATCCCTAGTAGGAGTACCAGTGTGCAATCCGGGTTTGGCACTTACACTCTCCAGGCCACCACTTCATCGCAGAGATCTTCGGCGTGTTCAGGACAAACTCCTGGGTGGAAATGTTGAAAGTCGCTGTTGTCTCAAAACCCCGAATGTAAGTCCCTTTGCAAGAATAAATGTACATCCTGGCTCAGCATGTCAGAAGGGTCATTTGAGAGAGAGAAGAGTCAGGCTCCTCCTTGTACGGATCGCCCTTACAGCTCTGCCTTCTGCCCAAGGAACTCCCAGGACTCCCCTGCAGAGTAATGGCCCTGGCCACTTCTGGCATATTATGAGCTCCCCTGCCTGACCTGGCTTCTCCCTCACTGCCAAGGACTGTGCTGTCAGTGCTGGTTCTTGCACCAGAGGCTGTGGATTATGAGGGGCTCAGTGATTAGCCTCTTGGAGTTTCTGGGGCTTTAGACTCCAGTTGAGTTGAAGTAATTTCTAGAGGCTCATGTGGACATCCCCAACCATTTGTGGTTTACTCTCAAGGGCAGAGCTGCAAACCAGGCTGCTTTGTTGCCCATCTCTAGAACAAACCAGCCTGCTTCCTTACCTGTTTCTAGAACCCGTCTGTCAGGCAGTGCCACCCCGAGGCAACCTGGACAGCTCTCTTCAAGCATACAATATTTAAAGCCAAACGTGTGCTCCCAACCAGTTCCCTGGTCCTGGTGACTCCCTTGTGTCTCGGTCATCCAAAAGCTAACCCCACCTCTTCCCTTTCCTACTCCCTTCACTTGCAAGAATTAAAAGCCACTCAGCCTCCAACTTGCTTTTCTGCAGCTCTGGTGATTTTTTTAATGGCCATCCATAAATGAAAGCGGAAGAACGGCTCACCTCAACCTCTGAACTCAAGTCTTTGAACTTCTGGGTGAGCGCAGCTCATTGCCCTAAGCTGCTCCCCTCGGGGCCAGATCCTCAGATGAAATCGTAAGGCTAAGTTGATTTACACTTTGTGGGCCTGAGGAAATGCCACGTGTCCTCTGCAGCCTTACCGTGTCCCAGCTCTGTCTGAGCGTAGCTTCCTAGAATGCAGTAGTTCTCGGCCAGGGGTATCCACTTGGCAGTCTGCTCATCTGTGCTCAGTGCCAGGATGCTCTCCATAAAGACACTGTGAAGGGTGAAGGCAACCTCCCCTCCGAGCGCCCTGGGAAGAATAAATGGTCGCTAGTGCCACAGGGCTGCCAGGTCCAAGGACACCGTGTGTGTTGGGGCATTTAACAGAATCCAGTTGCTGCCCACCCCAAATGGTCATTTCCCTTCGGTGTCAGAAGGCGCATCTGATCTCACACTACAGGAAAAAACAGTTCTCCCATTCCCTTTGAACCTTATGGGCACACACTTGCATTTTCACAGACTGTATTTTGCATTTTGGCTTCTATTCTACCCAGAAAAGCACACAAACGCCAACAGACTTTCCTTATGCCTGAAGGAGAGTGTTTGTGCCTGGAAGCTTGCATAGAATAATTTTTCCTACTATTTAGTTGGTCTAATAAAAGATATCACATCTACCCAAAGAGCCTTTCTGCCTATGAAAGCTTATGCATCTCTGTTGTAGTTAGTCTATAAAGTGCAAATCAACCCTGCTTTCTGCCTGACTTGTTAACCCCATTCTTCTCTGTCCTGATGGGAAACACATGTATCACCTGCTCACACATGCAGACTTGGAATTGTATCTCTGCCCAGGCAGGAGGGGGACCGTTTAACTGGGGAATGGCAAATGCCGTACCTGTATCTAAGTAGGGGATACAAGTGGTATGGACAGCTGTGGACCCCACCAGAGTCTAGCCTCAGTAGCATGCAAGGCTTTGGAACATATTTGGAAGAAAGGAATGACTAAGGACCTGGAGGTAGGAAATGGAATAAAATACCATATGAACTTCCCAAATGAACCTGCTGTCTTTAACTTTTCACCTGGTATCTTTTCTGATACGAGAACTGATTTGCTAGGCAAGTTAAATGCAGGAGACCCAATCTATTTGAACTTTAGCAGAGCATGAATACAGCATCCTGTGAGAAATGACTAGAGAAGCTGGAGACGGTGGGGGTAAAACACGAATTGCATGGGGGCGAGGGCCTGGCTAGAGGGGACGTGCCTGTGGGTTCTGCTGAAGGGAAGAGCATCGGGCTGGATGGAAGTTACTCGTGGGGCTCCTCAAGGTTTGGTCTTGTTTCACAGCATCTAGGAACACCTCGGCCCCCAAAAGTGCTGATGAAATTAGCCGCTGACACGGAGCTAGGAGGCATCATCAGTACTGACACTCCACCAGAAAGGACGGGGCGACCTTGCGAACTGCCTGGATAGAAATGGGATGAAACCCAATAGCCCCAAGTACAAGGGTGGGCATGTGGGGCCTGCTGTGAACAGGGAGCTCAGCAGGTGGGAAGGCCTGGAAGTATCAGTCGGTCACAGGATGGCTGAGGAGCACCGATGTGCTGCAGCCTCGGAAGTGGCACACGCGGTTGTGCAATGCCTCAGCCTAGCAGAGACAGGGAAGTATGTGTGCCATCAGAGAAGCCAGGTCCTAATACAGCCTTCTGATGGGAGCCACGAGGGCCGGAAGCTTTTAAGATGAAGCAGATCATTTGGTCAGAGGGGTTGTAGGAGGTGGGCGTCTGTGGCAGCAGGGGCTGGATCTCAATGACCCCGGAGGTCCCTTTCCATCCAGCGTGTTGTTACTGGGGTCAGTTCCTGTGTATCCTGGGTGTGTCTGGGAGTCCCTGTGGAAGTGGGGGGTGTGTGAGTGTGAGGGCAACGGGGCAGGCCTGGGGAGGTGGCTATTTACAGCGCCCTGTGCTGTGCTTGTGACTGTGTGGAAGCCGCTGTATGCAGCTGCTCGAGCGGGCGATACCAGGAGGCGCGCTGGCTCGCCAGCTCGGTGCTGCAGCAAACACCTGAGCGAGCTTGTGCCGAAAGCCTGTCAGTCGGTCAAGTGTGCCCCACGAGCCCTGTAGATACAGGTGTCTTGAAGAGCGAAATACTGAAGTAAAAGGAGGGAAGGGTGAAAATGCTGGCAGGCGTTTGGGAAAAAGAAAACAAACCAGGTACCTAGTACAGTACTTGCTTTCAAGCCCAGCCTCGGTCCACTTCATCTGGTGCATCATCTTCTTGAGGTGCACGGCCTTTTTGACTGCCGCTTCGTAACTCTCGTTCTGGCTCAGGAAGTACTTGTCCTCCCTGCTGAGCACAGGGTCGCTGTGAATCACAGCCTCTGTAAAACAGAGCGGGCAGTCGGCTCGCCTCGGGGAGCTCTGCTCCTGGTCGGACCAGTCGTCTTCTCCACAAAGCCCGGGCCCCGTGCAGGAGCAAATGCAACCTCTCTTACCGTGCTGGTCAGTTCAGTGCTTGGCCCCCTCCTACATTTCCTCTGCTGCAGGTTGAGGCCATTGCTCCTAGTCCTGTCCCCTCTGGCCACAGAGAAAAGCCCATCTCCACCCTCTTTATTACCCTTCAGGTATTTGAAGACTCTTATCACATCTCCCCTCAGTCTTCTCTTCTCCAGGCTGGACAATCCTAGTTCTTTCAGCCTTTCCTCGAAGTCTTGCTTCCCAGGCCCCTAATCATGCTGTTGCTCTACCCTGGACTCCCCCCAGTCTGTCCACATCCTTCTGGAAGTGCAGGGCCCAAAACTGGACGCAGCACCGCAGGTGAGGCCTCACCGGTGCTGAACTGAGCAGAAGAATCTTGATTTGCAAGTGATGCTAATGTTAACACGGCCTAGGATGCTGTCGGCTGTTTTGCAACAAGAATACCCTGTTGGCTCACAGTCAACACATGGTCCACTTCAAACCCCAGGCCCTTTGCTGCAGTACTGCAATCTAGCAAATCACTTCCCAGTCTGTAACTGTGTATGCAATTATTCCGTCCCAAGTGCAGGACTCCATACTTGTCCTTGTTGAATTTGACCTGGTTAACTGCGGCCCGTTTCTCCAGTGCACCCAGGTCATTCTGGATCCTAGCCCTGTCCTCCGAGGTGTCCACACCTCCCCCCAGCTTGGTGTCATCTGTAAATGATTGACATGGTGCGTTTGCCAACAGTTCTGGCTGTCTGATACACTGGGGAATAGGGCAAAAGACTGGCTATTTGAGTCCATCTGTCCTGCTCCCCTGCATGCTCCCCACACAGCAGGTCTTAGTGCACCTGACTAAGCTGGCAGGGCAGGATTTGGGTCTTAAAGCCTCAGTTCATGCAGCAGCTTTTCAGTTGTAAATCATGATTTTTTTACATTAGAAACTGGCACCATGAGAGCTGGTATTGGCACATTGCTGCTCACATGGCTGAGCACCGGTGAAAAGAGCACCGTCTAACAACACAAGTGTCTAAACCAGGGTGGGTATTAAGTCCAGTGGAAATAACAAGCTGCTCGGGAGCCCGATTCCCTCTGCACAGCCTTCCTCTGGCAATAAATCATTGCGAGCATATCTGCTGCTTCTAGTCAGGCTTAGTGCCAAGTCTTTAAACCCCACTCACCTACTGCTCTTCGGACACGTGTGTTCTCAGCGCCGCCATCCAATATGGTAGTGAGCTTCTCGACATCAAAGGAGGGAGTTTTTCTCTCAACGTCGAGGTCGGGATTCACATCCCTGCTGGCCGAGCTCCTGAGATACCTGGTTGGGGCCATGCTGGGAGCGCTAGGAGCCCTGCAAAAGGATGGTGTGGATTAGTCTGCTGGTCCTGGGGAGCGCGTGCAGCAGGTTTTAAAGCATGTTAATTAGTTACCACGTGTTTAATGATCTCCTTATAAGGAGGAAAAGCTACATCAAACTCTGAGGGGTTGCACTCATCTTTGATTAAGTCTCTCTTTCTGGTCAAAGTCTGTTTTTACCGGGTTAATGATTCCAGGCTAATAAGCTGCATGTTAACATTGCCGGCTAAGGAGCGAGCTAGGTGCTGTCTTTCTGAACATTTCTCCCAGCTCTGGTTCAGATACTTGTCTGGTTTTTTGGTGTGATATGCACTTGATGGTGCTTTAATAAGGTGGGACTGGGATTCTTGGGCTTGGACTCGGTATGTGCAGAGTCATGTAACGCCAGGGAAGTGGAACGGACAGGGAGCGCGCGCTGAGGATTGCCGGTAGTGACGTTCTCCCGCGTCCTCTGATACAACCCCGAGCGCGCAGGGCTGGTGCAGGGTGTCTAGTGGACTGGCCCTAGCCTACGCTGTGCTGGAGGCCAGGCTCAGCCCCTTCTGACCTTAACCTCCACCTCTTCTTAGTGACGGGGGCTTGCTCTTTCATTCCCAAACAAGAAGCCCTGAAACGCCAAGGACATCCAGCTTTGGGAAATCTCACCGGGGTGATCTTGCCGTCAGGGGTGCTCGTATTTAGACACTGAATCCAAAGCCCAGGCCTTGTCCTCTGAGCACAGAAGCAGCCCTCGGTAAAGAGCAGCTCGAGGAGACAAACGTAACGGCGGCCTGCCCTTGCTGTCTGCTCACCAGCACTGAGAGAGCTGTGGCGGCGTGCTTCCGTGTCAGCTTTGACACACGAGATGCAGACACGAAGGGCACGTACCTTGTCCCTGGCAGTCCGCAGAAGGAAAGATGACTTCTTCCCCTGTGCACGGCGGGCTCGGTCTACATACCCCAGCATGCTGTGCTGATCGTCGTGGCTTGCGATTAACTCTGTAGGCTCTGCTAGCTCGTGCGTGCTTATCGCCACTGACCTCTCCTGGTTGGTTCGCACGCCTCCCGGTTTGTGCAGCCTAAAGCCACAGCTTGCAGAGAAGCCGTGTCCCCTGCCCAGTCTGACGCCGAAGCGGCAGCGTTTCTTGGCTTTGGCCATCCTCTGATGATTTTCCTGCGGCCACCAGCGAGCGCTACAGGGTGCGGCACAGCAGGATAGCGCGGCGATTCTCAACCAGGGTGCTCAAGCCAGAGATGCGAAACAGGAACCCAGGGTGTTAAAAATGTTCCGCCCTGCTGTGGCCTTCCTGGGTGCTTTGCAACAGAAGAACTGCTCTTGTATTTGTCTGTAGTCCCTAAAATTAGTAGAAGCTCAGAGCTGGCATTTTCCAAGGGCCTTGAGCTTAAAAATGTTGAGACCCACCCTAATAGCAGCTTTGCTGTGGGGGTCAGAGGGCCCTGGATGGCCCCAGGTTGCGTCTGGGCTGCAATGCTGTACCAAAGAAGGTCTTTTCAGGTAAGTGGCATAGTCTGCCCTGACCTGCCCAGAGCCAGCGTGAGGCTCCTGGTCCATGGTGGTTGGCAGCTGAATCTCGGTCTGCTCACACCCATGCTGAAGTGAAACACACAGGCCCCATGCAGGCCTCAGCATGCACGCTCTCATGTAATCCCCATGGGCCCAGAGCACGGTGCGGGGAGCAACCAGGGGCCGTAGCCTGGGCTCCCACTAGCATATGCTGGTGCAAGGTGGTGTCGGAGGAAGGAGCCCATGCCTTGCCCCTGCCCTGCAGCCACCAGGAGGGTAGTGCTGGGTTTTCCAGAGTGTTGAAAAAGGCTCTGCTTCTCGGGGCATACCTGGCGGCAATGTGATGAACCCGAGGGGTGAATGAATGGCTGGCACTCGATATGCTTTCAGACATTATGAAACCTTCTTTGGCTCCCGCTTTGGCTAAACGCCGTGATGTTATAAACAGCCTTGAAGGTGTGCAGGGCCGGGTTGTTAACAGCCTTTAGCCTGACAGCCAGGGCAGAGCAGAGCCTTGAACCCTGGTCTTCCACATTGTGATCAGTTGAGACTACCGTAGAAAAGCAGGGTACATTGCTGAAAGGCAGCTAGATGTTTTCCTTGCTCGAATAACACTCGGGGCTTTGGTTTCTGCCGGGGTGCTCAATCTTGTGACCTCCTGGGCTGGGTGAGTGGCTTGGGGCTGGTCCACAAGCTGGACCCAGGAGGTTGGCCGCGGGATCAGACCCTGTGTGCCTGGATCCTGCCTTGTGCCACCCAGATCCCCTCTCACACTGCCCAGATCAGGCCCTGTGTGCCCAGACCCCATCTTAGCGTGCGCCTGGATCAAGCCCCGTGCCCGATCTAGCATGCAAGGCTATGCTGCCTGCCCGCAGGGTTCCCCACTGGGGCTCACTGGAAGCGGTGGGATTTGTTTGCAAGCAGTGACTGCAGCTGGCAGCCTGTCCCCAGGTTTATGGTGAGAACCCCTCTAGCATTTTGGACCAGGCTCCTCTCTCTCAGGGCTCAGCAACCAGGAGTTTGTGCAGAAGGAAGTCCCGGTACGTTCCCCGGGGGGCTTGGATCTTGTGAGAAAAGCAGCCAGGGGCTTGGTGCCCAGGGCAGCAGCATGTAGGAGACCTGCAGGGGCCCTAAGGCAGTGGTTCTCAAGCCTTCTAGACTCAAGATCCTCCATGTTAGACTCAGGTCCTCCCTTGGAAAATGCCAGCTCTGAATTTTCATTTGTTTTTTGAGTACAGAATAACATAGCAGTTCTGCTGCTGCTGCTGCAAAGAGCTCAGCAAGACTCTGGATCCAGTCTGACATCTCTGGCTTTCTCTTGTGAGTGGTATGTAGGCATTTGCACGCAGACCAGTGCTAATGTGTGCACCCTTCATAGGTAGATCTCACAGCACCCTGGATGTCATGGCACCTGGTTGAGAGTCACTCTGACGTAACCCTTCCAGCCTTTCTACTCCTGTTGACAGAGTTTGTCCAGGCCCCTGGTCATTCTCTTTGCCCTTCTCCAAACTTCCTTGAACTTTGCCGCATTTTTATCTTTTAGGGTGCAATTTGTTCTCGTTTATGATCCATCACTTAGGTCAGCTGCCTGACACGTCCTGTTCTTCAGAGGGACTCTGTCGGGGGCGCATGTTGGTCTGGCTGCCCGACTAGGCAGCTGCGCTGGCAGAGCTCAGGACCCGCTGACAAAACAGTGAACACGTCTGTGCTCAAAGCTGCTCGGCGGCAGTGGAGCCGGTCCTCCCTGCTGGCAAAGCGAGACGCCGCCGCCCTCCTACCTAGGGCAGGCCCATGCCTCCTGCGAGCTGCTGCAGTGCCTTCCCCGGGG